GATCCTGTCTCAAAATTAAAAATAAAAAGGGCTGAGGGACTGGGGTTGTAGCTCAGTGGTAGAGCACTTGTCTTGCATGTATGAGGTACTGGGTTCTATCCTCAGCACCATATATATGAGGTACTGGGTTCTATCCTCAGCACCAAATAAATAAACAAAGATATCGTGTCCCTCTACGACGAAGAATATTAAAAAAAAAAAAAAAAAAGGGCTGAGGATGTAGCTCAGTGTTGAAGTGCCTATGAGTTCAATCCCTAGTACCTAAAAAATAAATGAGGTTGAAACAAAATAGGGCCTGTAAAGCAAAGGAGTCAAAAAAAATGGGGAATAGAGTGATTTTGGAAAAGGTGGAGTTTTTTTTAAACTGGCAACAAGGTAATAGTAGTTGGAAAACCGAGAAAGAGCAGAACGTATTTGTGAAACAATTAAGAGTTTATGTAAGGTGACTGGAGTATACCATATATGGGTAGGTGGGAGGTATATTATTTTGAAAGTATCAAACTTAAAGAACCAATTTAAAAAACTGAAAAATAATAACTGACTTAAGAGAAGTGACTTGCTTTGGAATGTAGTATTTTTAAATAGTGATAGTGTCCATATGGGCTAACAGTTGTACACATGGTTATTTAATTTTCTGTATTGTCTGAAAACATGTGATGTGTAACTGTAGTGATTTATTACATTTATAACCAAAAATAATTAAAATATAATTTGTAAAATTCACCTGAAAAATTTTTAAATACATATATTTTGCAAAATTTACCTGAAACATTTTAAATACATATATTTTAAGATTGTAGATGATTTTGTTTTTAGTGGTTCCAGTATTTTTAAAAAATCTATATTTTTTAAACATAAATCTAAAAGAGACACAATACCTTTTATTTTATTTATTTTTATGTGGTGCTGAAGATTGAACCCATTACCTCATATATATGAGGCAAATGTTGTACCAGTGAGCCGTAACCCCAGTCCAGTGTTCCAGTATATTTTTGGCAGCAACTTAATTGGTTTTTTTTTTTCCTTTGGTACTAGGGATTGAACCTTGGGGCGCTTAACCACTGAGCAACATCCTCAGCCCTTTTTAAAAATATTTTATATCAAGACAGGGTCTCACTGAGTTACTTAGGGCCTCAGCAGCTTGGTGAAACTGGCCTTGAATTTGAGATCTTCCTCAGCCTCCCAAGCCACTTGAATTATAGGCATAAACCATCGTGCCTGGCTTAAACTTAAATTTTTGATAAAGAAATACTTGCCCTTTGGAGAGGTTACCTTTCCTAATTACTGATTCCTGATTACTTGGAGAAAAAAGCCAGCCTCAACCTCAGCAACTTGAAAGTTATACTCACACCCTAAAAACACACACATGTGTAGCAACAAACAAAGGAATTTTTTAAAAATGTCTAAGGCGATATGCTAAGGTGAATAGAATGCTGAGCAAAAGCAAGCTTGATCTTTATTGACCACACTGTCTAAAAATCAGATTTTTATATATTTCTGTTTTTCTATAACATGGGATTTAAATTTCTCTTTCCCATCAATAGATTTAATGTGAAATGTATTTAGATGTTTGAATTTTTTGCTCCTGACATCAATTCATGTAGAAAGGGCAGATTATATGGTGAAATACCAACCAAGAAGAGCAGTAGCTTGCTTTTGCTCAGCATTCTATTCTCCTTATCCTATCTCCTTAGACATTTTAAAAAATTCCTTTGTTTGTTGCTACACATGTGTTTTCAGGGTGGGAGTATAACTTTTAAGTTGCTGAGGTTGAGGCTGGCTTTGAATTTGTGATCCTCCTGCCTCAGCATCTGGAGCCCTTGGAATTGCAGGCAGCTGCATAGCATCCAGTGGGAGTATCTTTTGATTTACAAATATCTTTGCTACTGGCCAAAAGTTGGCAGTAAGTAGAGATTGGAGAAACTCTCAAATCTCTTTCCATTCCAGTTTTAGTGAAGTAGAAATAAACATAGGAACAGAGAAAGTCAATAAAGGAGTTCCATTGAAACTATTTAGCTTTCAGTCTATATGTGAAATTTAGGTTCTCATATGTGAGGTTTAATTTGGCTCAGAAAATATGCTCCTGAATAATAGAATAGTGACAACTGTGCTTTTAGAATCTTGAACGTGTGTGTGTGTGTGTACACGTTACTAGGGATTGAACCCAGGGCCTCACACATGCTAGGTAAGACTGAGCTATGTCCCCAACCCTGTTCTAAATTTTATTTTTGAGATAGGGTCTCAGTTGCCCAGGCTTGCCACGAACTTGCCATCTTTTTGTGTTGCCTTCAGAGTAGCTGGCATCACAGGCAAGCGTCACCACACCCAGCCTTAGAATTTTACGGTTATTTGTTTATTCATTGGTCCTAGTGATTGAACTCAGGGTCTCACTCATGTTAATAAACATGTGCTCTACCACTGAGCTATGTCCCTAGCCCTAAACCCTTTTGAAACATGTAAAAAAAAAAATAAAAAAATATATATATGTATATATATGTATATATATATAATGATTTTTTAAAAAAAAGTTTTAGTTGTGTTAAACAGTTCTTTTAAAAAATAATTTGTCCTGTAATTGAATGTAATCTTTGGTGGTTTTTTTTTCCATTTATAGTACCATTTTGTTCAAAAGAAATTGTCTTTCTTTGGCTGGGGGTGTAGCTCAGTGTTCTAGCTCTTGCCTGGCACACTTGAGGACCTGGGTTCCAGCTCTAGCACTTACTGCCTTAAATAGGCCTATATGTGAGAAAGAATGTGGTCTGAACTTTTTCTATGTGGTGAAACATTTTAAATGGTAATTAGCCATATCAGACTGGAAGTTAAAATGTATCAATTTCTAAATATATTATTTTTTGTTTGTTTGTTTAAAATATTTATTTCTTTTAGTTGTACACAATAACTTTGTTTTCATTTAGTTTTTATGTGGTGCCGAGGATCGAACCCAGGGCCTCGCACACGCTAGGTGAGCGTTCTACAACTGAGCCACAATCCAGCCCCTAAATATATTCTTAATGCTTCTTAAAAATAATTTTTGAGAAGATGCGTACTTTTATGGTTTAGATTCCAAAAACTATAGAAACATATAGTGAGTAGTTCACCTCCACACAGGATATCTTATTATAGTTTTTTTTTTTTATCTGCAGTGTATCCTTGTGGAGATACTTTAAACTTATACAAATATGGCATCTGTGTGTTCTATTATCACAAAACCTACTTTGAATACTATTTTGTGTTTTGCTCTTTTCCCCCCACTTAACATATACCAGAGATCTTTCTATTGTGGCACAGTATTGTTATACCATAATTTAATCAGTTCCCTTTGATGGATTTCTAGTTCTAGTCTTTTGCTGTTGTAAGTAATGTTACAGTGAATGACCATAGACCTACCTCATTTTATCAATGTGCTAGCATATCCTTGGGATAAATCCTTAGAGGGAAATTGCTGGGCTCATGTACATTTATAATTTTGACTGATATTGGCAATTTGTCTGACATGGAGCATGTCTTTCAACCGGGACAATTTTGCTGCCCTGGGAGACATTTGGCAATGTCCAGAAGAGACTTTTTCAGTTGCCACATTTAGAGGGAAGGGCTGTATTCCTGGTAAGTTTGAGAGCTGTTTGATTTCTGTGAACTCTTCAAATCCTTTGTTTTTCCTTAAGTGTAAACATTTCTTATATTCATCATATAATAAATCTCAGCTAGTTTTTCATTTGTATTTTGATTTCTGCATGGGAAAACACTAAACAATCATACTGTATGGGATAAAAATTCTTAGTTTTGGTTGCAAAAGCCTTCTCTAATTATGTTATTCAAGGATTCTTTCTTCCATGTTAAGAGGACTTTTATCATTTCATTTTGTGCATTTTGGTCTTTGATATATTTGGAATTTACTTTGGTGTACAGCATAAGGTATCATTGTTTGATAAATAATCCATCCTTTCTCACTGGTTTAAAATCCTATTATCACATAACTAAATTCTCTTATGCGTTTGATTCTAAAATATTTTAAATATCTGGTAGGAGGGAAGGTTAGTCCTGTTTTGTTTTTTCCTGGCTCTTCTGTTTTTTTCTAAGTGAAATGTTTTTTGGAAGAAAGGGCAATCCTTTTTTTGAGTTGGGGCCTCATTATATTGTCCAAACTAGCACCTGAAATTCCTAAGCTCAAGCTATTCTCCTGCTTCAGTCTCTTGGTTGGGACTATGGGGGTATGCCACACCTATTCTATGTGAACTTTAGAATTAACTTAACGTGGTTAGTTGTAAATTATCTGAATAGAATTTATATCTTTTATGAAGTGGAATTGTCTTCTTGGAGAACATTCATGGGTGTTTGTTTTAGGAATGTTCTAAAGATGTCTTCATATAGATTTTATACTTACTCAGTTTATATGTCTTAATCTTTTGGTTTTATTTGTAAATGGGATCTTTTTTCCATTTTCTGACTGGTTTTATGATTATAAAAGATTGTTTTCTGTTTACTAATTTGTACTTAATCACCATTTCAGATTTTTATTGTTTATATTCATTTTCAGTCGATTTCTAGTTTACAGCAATTACCTATGAAGAGTAATAATTCTATATTGTCCTTTTTATATGATTATACCTCTACTTTTTGGTCTTATCTATTTGCATCTGCTACTAACTCCAGAACAATATTAGATAATAATAATGACAAAAGACATTGTGATAGAATACTTTTTGTGGAAGCTTTTTATATTTTAAAAGAAATACTTCCTATTTTTCCTTTAAACCTGATGCTAACTTTTGGTAGATTGAGATAGATAAGGTTATCTACAGTGGATATTAAATTTGTTAAATACCTTTTCAGCATCTGTTGATATGAGTACATGATTTTTTTCTTTTCAAACTATTAGAATGAATGATATAGGTTGATTTCATTTTTAACTCGCCTTTAACTCATATTGCTGGGTTAACCTCATGTGGTCAAAGAGTATTCTTTTTTTAGTGTTCACCGTTTTTCTTTCCTCTTTTTGATAGGTTTATCATGTTCATTCTGATAGCTATGAGACACAAAATCAGCACTATGGAAGAAGCTTAACAAAAGAAACTATAAAGGATGGTAAGTATTTAAAAAAGAAATAATGTTTTTTTTTTTTATAGTATCATTAACACTAATTCTGAAGTCATTTCAGTTTTAGTTTTCCTTCAAAATAATAATCAAATTCATAATAATTTTTTTAAATGAAACAGATTCACAGAATTGGATTAATCAGAACTCCTGGTTCATAATGCATCCAAATCATGGGACCACAGATGGCACTTTTTTAACATTTTCATTCATATCTTACTAATAAATGTGTTAATTTTTCATTACTGTGACAAAAATCCCTGAGACAGTCAACTTTTTAAAAGGAGAAAATGGGTATTTTGGCTCACAGTTTCAGTGTATGATCATTTGACCTTATTGCTGTGGACTTAGGGTGGCACAGTACATCTTGGCAGGAGCATGCTGTGGAAGAAAACTGTTCTCCTTCTGGCATCCAGGAAGCATGAAGAGGGGGACAAGGGGCCAGGATCTCAATATGCCCTTCAAGGGCACAGTCTCAGTGACCTAATTTCCTCCCACTAGACCCGCCTCAAGGTTTTTCCACCTCCCAGTAAGACCAAACCTTCACACATAGGCAGGGGACACTATAGATTTAAACTAGCCCTATGCTTTTTTAAAAAAATATTGAACATTTGTGAATCAGCTATCTAGCTCACACTGAAACTAAAGGTTATCTTTAAAATCATTTTTTAAGTAAAGACTATGAGACATAGTATATCAAAATTGCTTGTTACGTAAGAGACTTTTAAGATACATGCTGTGTATAATGCTTTTTTGAAACTTCCAGTGTGTAGTTGAGCTATAAAACTTTTAAATAGTGTCAATATATACTTCTAAAATATTTGTGGTCAAAATATCACAAAAACAAGGATATCCTATATCTCTGAAACGTTCATTCTTAGCTCTACTAAGATAAGGACCAGTTTATGTGTAGCACGAGTTTGTGGAAAATTTTTATGTTATGTATAGAAAATAAACATCCACAGTGTGAGCCTGACAGTTAATGCTTCCTTTGGTATACTTAACCAATAGCCAGATAATATTCAGATTGACTTTTTAAAGAATATTTTTCTGGGATACAGTTTGGTCCTATCTGAATATATTTCTTAACAGTTATTGTTCCAAGGTAAAAGAACAAGTTATTTAAAAGCAGAAATAAAATTGTACATACCCATAAATTCCTAAGTATGACAAAATTTTAAGACATAGTTTTAAGAGATGCCTAATGACACGGGTTATTTAAAACATTTAAAAGTTTCTGTTTTACTTAACAGTCATCCTGGAGAAGTGCTAGTCCCAAAAGCAAGTTTTAACTCTTGTGAAAAGACTAATCAGTATTGAGGAAAAATAAAAATTAGTAGAATTATGATTTGGTATTTGGTAACAAGCCATTGACATCATTAAAAATGGTTATAATTTGACTCTAGGATTTAGATTAACTCTTAAATGTGATTCTGACAAACAGGTATTTTTTTCCATAAAATTCCTCACAGTAGCAAATTTTGGAATGGCATTTCTTCAGAGAAAACAGAGAACTAAACTTCCAGTCTACCTGTCATAAATTTATTTTTCTTTTTTCTTTTGTTTGAGTGGAGTATTTCACTTTACATTTGTGTCATTTAAATGTTTTCTTATATGAGTTCATCACCAAAAATTGAGATCTAAGGTTTCAATGTCTAACTGGAATTCCTAGAATTCCAAGTTTAGCGAAGTAACTGTAAGGATGGTGGGGAAAATACTGAAGAATTTTATCTACTATGAATCCACTTTCCAAATGATAACTATTTTATACATTGATTATAATCCTAATGTATTGTTTTATAGGAGTCTCCAAGTTTTTTCATAATGGGTTCTGTCTAAGAAAAGATGCTATTGCTGCCAGTATTCAGAAGATTGAGAAAATTCTGCAGTGGTTTGAAAGCCAGAAACAGCTTAGCTTTTATGCAAGTTCATTACTATTTGTTTATGAAGGTTCATCTCAGCCAACCACTACAAAATCAAGTGACAGAACTTTGGCAGGAAAGTTTTTGTCCAAAGGGCAATTGTCAGACACAGAGTTACTGGAGTACAACAATAACTTTCATGTGTTAAGTTCCACAGCAAATGGAAAAATAGAGGCTTCAGTAGGCAAAAGCTTATCCAAGATGTATGCTCGTCACAGAAAAATGTATTCAAAAAAACATCACAGTCAGACTTCATTGAAAGTTGAAAATATGGAGCAAGACAATGGGTGGAAAAGCATGTCACAGGAACATTTAAATGGAAATGTACTTTCCCAACTGGAAAAAGTTTTTTACCATCTTCCCACTGGTTGCCAAGAGATTGCGGAAGTAGAAGTGCGAATGATAGATTTTGCTCATGTGTTTCCTAGCAACACAATAGATGAGGGATATGTTTATGGTCTAAAGCATTTAATTACTGTACTTCGAAGTATTTTAGACAATTGAATCTTTTGCTGCAGTCTTTTTAAGTGGTGGACAAATCATCATAAAGAGCAGCAGTCATTATCTCTGCACCTGTAATGCTGTGTAAAAACTTTGTATTGTGAGTCAACATTTTATTTGTCTTTATACTTTTGGTAGAAAGGTTAACTTTTTTATAATCTTACTCAGGAATACTAATTTGTTCATTAGAAAACTATGAAGAATAAAGAAACAGGAATGTTAAGCAGGGAATGTGGTGGTACATGGCCTGAACATCTATTTGGCTCAAGCAAAATGCAAACCATTATTCAGTAAGAGTTTATTTAGCTTTCTGTAGCCAATGTATCATGAAATCTGTCCACCCAACCTTGAAAATGAGCCATATCTAACCTATGACATAATTAGAACACCTTCAAAATCTAGAAAGCACAGGTTGATATCCTTAGTATTGCTATGTATGAAGTTATTAAAACTGGAGAAAATTCTACTTCAGAAATAAGTACCATTTAGGTTTTATATTAAAAGTTCAGACCAGCATATCAAAAGGTGCTTCTTAGTGAAATGATTTAGAATTATTGCATTCCAAAAGCAGGTTTTCCATTTAATTTCCATTTATCTATGTAATACAAAATATTATACTTTGTGAAATACACAACAGAAATGGACGACAACAACAACAACAACAAATATCTTGAAATTAAAGGCACTGATGATTTTTACCAGGGTCAGAAGAGAGAAATTATTTGCAAGAAACAAAATTTTTTCTTTAAAATTCTTTTATTGCAAGTTCTTTTGTGGCAAAAATGGAATCTATATTTACTACAATGTGAGAAGACATTACATGATATATGTAGGTATACATATAATACTTTTTCTCAAACAGAGGCTTCAAAAAGGTGAATGATTGAAATTTTATTTTTCCTCTAAACAATATTTTAGAGTGTTTTGCTTTTAAAATTCATGTATTTGTGGTCCCACTTAGTTAAGCAGTGGTATAAACGTTTGTTGCTAAATATAGTGTTTCTCAGAATTTGGTTAAGCAGTGAAAAACAGCATCTGATCATGTAAGTGTTTTTAAAAATACTGTGTGTAAATTAGTACATTGTATAGGGTTTGGCACATATCTAAATCTGTGCTTCTGTTTCACTATTATTCGTAACAGCTTTAGATCATATCAAAAGAGAAACTAATTGGGGGCAGAGGCAAAAACAGATTTGTAAATATTACCTTTGTTTTACACACACACCACCTTTTAAAAAATAACTAGGTAATTTTCATTGAAAACTTGTAAGACTTTAAAATTAAATTTGAAAATAATTTGATGTTAATGCTTTCAAAGCACTTTGATTCACTAGTAATATATCTAAGTAGTTGAGCAGTTTTACCATATTCCTGGAACACATTTTGAAGTTATGATTTAAGATCTTTTCCTCCTCTTTTTACCTCAGAATCACAATTTAAACTTTTAAATCCAAGTGCCATTTTTATGTGGTATGGAGGAAATTTTGTTTCTTAGCTTCCCAACTCTCACTGAGGGTACTTTGCAAATATCTGAGTTCTAACAAAGTCACCAGATAAATTTCTATGAATACTATACTTAGCAAATCTTTTAAACTGGCATAACTTTATATGCATTTTGTTATTTTTATTTAGAATTAGTGTAAAATATTTTTCCTTGGGATGTAATGTTTTTCTGTATTTCCAAGTGGGTATTGGCCATACGTTTTTGTGGGAATGAAATTCAAGTCTTAATTAATAAGAAACTTTTTTAGTTTTACTCGTTTTTTTCTTCAATATGGACTTTTGTTGTTGTTGTTGTTAGTTAGATAGTGTTAAGCTCATATAAATGAACACTATGTTGAATCTTCAGAGGATTTTTGTATGGGATTGTGTCAGCCTATGTACATTAAATTTAATAAATTTAAGTATTATCAGATTATTTGCACATTTTAGTTCAATAAAGTCTGAATCAGCTGTTCTAGATTTTCTTTATCTGTATTTGGAAATAGAGTTTTGTAAAGTCAATGTCTTGCCTTTCTGATAAAATAGATCATGTTTTGTTTTAATAAAACAAGAAGTGCTTTTATCTTTGTTTTTCAGGGAAGGGATTAACATTTAATTCTTTTTGTTTACATTTTTTTATCACTGTTACCCAATGATCATTTTATGTTATTACTTTATAAGTAAGCTTGTATGTAACAGAATAAGTATCTGTTTCTGTAATCTACATGTGACTATTATCTAGTCCTGTTTTAAGATTATGCGGAAGTATGCCACTGTGGGGATGAATGATCACTATTCAGCAAACATGTTTGAACATGTAAATGTTTAAGAAATAAGCAAATTAATGATATGGTTTGGATTAATAGGATTATTAATTTTTTCTCCCCTAGGAAACATAAATAATAATGTTAGTGTATTTCTTATGAAATGCACTCATATAAAAGACTTTTAAGAAATTGTGGATGTGAATACATTTCTCAAATGAAATTTAAATTGTAAAATAGTTTTATAATAAAGTATTTACATTAATTGATATTTTAATATGGATGGAAGTTGCATAGATTGAAATAAATTAAAATCCACGATAAATGATACATATTTTATCTAAATAGTTTTTCAAGAAATAATTATGAAAATGTGTATATTAAATGGCTCTAACATGGAGCTTGTGGTATTTCAAATTGGTATTCATGATTCTTTGTTTTATGTGTCTGGAAAGATTGTACTTATTATGCCTCTTTACACTACAATTTGCTACTGTGGGCCTCAAGACTGTTCTACTGAATTAGAACTTTTAAAGAATTTTGGATTAAGTATAATTTAGTATTTATGATTTCCAAGATATTCTTATCATGTCTGTAAAGTCTCTACCAAATTATAATATTTGAAAAGGAATTAATTTCCATAGTTCTTTGAGTTGTAGTTTTCTTGCTTCAGGAACCTGGAAACACATTTTTAATTTTATTTTTTAAGGATATTGGAATATTATAGGATAAACAAACTAGAACAATGAAATAATTTAACATGAAATTACAGAAATCATGTCCACTATTTTAAAGCATTGTCATCTTTTTAGTACCATTTTATCTTAGAGCTGACATTTAAACTTGATTTGCTTTAAAAATTGTTTACAGTGCTTTGTAATTTTATTCCGTATCCAGTGCCTTTAACCTTGATTTGATATATTTGTAGCTTCAGTTTTCCTTTCTATTGTATCTTATAATGTCTTTAATAGCCCAGGAGGCATCAATTTCTTCTTAAAAAATTGTCAGTTTGATTATCTGAAGATGTAGTAATTACTCATTAATATTTTGGGAAACAAATACAGTTTCCTTTGGAGGCCAGGCTTCTTAGATTATTCAAAAACATCGGATGTATCGGATGAATAATGTGTGCCAAGCATTTGTAATCCCTACTCCTAGTATACAGTGTGAACTAATCAGACAAGGCCCTAACTATTTTAAGCATCCTGTCTAGGCCAAGTGGGTTAGGAACTCAGTTTAAATAGAGATATAGAGAAAAATGCATTTAAAGATAACTAGCATTTGAGTTTGTGTAACGATTAATAAGTACTGAATTAAGGTGAGGCAACTAACCATTACAAAGTTTAGGTATTTTGCAGCTTTGTAAACTTCATTTGACTCTTGAGTTTTGGTAGTAGCTATTGATAGTGTAAAAAAGCCTTAATTTTTCAATATTCTTGGTGGTAAAGGTACGTTTACTTAGACTGTCCATTTAGAGTAGTGTTTAACATAACATTACTGTGAGAAAAACATTCCATTACATATTCATAAGCACATTAACTGCACATTTTAAAATTGTATTTTACAGTTTAGTACAAGTAATTTTAGGCCTCAATCTTAAATCACTGGTATTTAAAATTTGGCAGTAGGGGGTTGTAGTGGCTCATGCTATAGTCCCAGAGACTTTGGAGGCTGTGGATTATGAATTTAAGGCCACCCCCAGGCAATATAGGGAGACCCTATCTCAAAAAATTAAAAGAAAATAAAAAGTCTGGGGATATGTAGCTCAGTGGTAGAGCACTCCTGAGTTCAATCCCCAGTACTACCAAAAAAAAAAATTAAAATATGAAATTAACGTTTTGACTCAGTGATTTTATTGAAATTTTAAATAGTTCAGGAAAATTGTTAGTATTTCAGGAAAAGTAGAGTCATCATCATTTTTTGTTAATGTTTTAAATTCTTATTGCTTAATTTGATGGATTCTAGTAAGAGGAAAAGGTACTCATGCAATTAAACAAATTGGCATGTACTTTCAAGAATTGTTTTGTTTTTAATGTCATCATTGGGGTTAAATTTTGGCCTGGTGTTCACCTAAAATATAAACAGTGTAATTATAAAGTGAAATAATCTTAAGTATGATGTATGATACACCTGCATATAAATGAAAATGGAGTGCACACAGACACTTTACTATGGGAACTGTACTGGAAGATTTATGAAAGCATGTGAAATTGCACCTAAAATTGTGTTATTAGTGACTATAAGCAGCAATGCTAAATTTCTTGTACTTGATGAATGAATGTACTTAGTCACAGTAACTTTGGTTTAAATGTCTAAGTAATGTCTTTAGTTTTTTTTTTTTTTTTCTTTTTTTTTAGTGTGTTTGTAATTTGTACTATTGATGGGGGTTATTCTTGGACTGCAGGGGTTATTGTCAATGTGTGATTTGTGTTTTTGTTTTATAGAATCATCTAATGTGATATACCAATTTTTATAAGTGATATTTAGATAATCCTAATAACTGTGTATATTTGACAACCTATTAAAATGTTTTGCATTGGAGTTTTTTTTTCCCCCCATTACTTGTAACATGCTTATAGCCTCATGGTAATTTAAAAGTCACTCATTCAGTCAAATATTTTACTGTGTTTTATGTACCAGAAACTATAGGCATCACTAGGAATTCAAAGATAGAACTAAGTGTTAGTAGAAAGAAAGGTCCACTTCAGGAATCATTTTGTATGAATATTTTCTATCATATGAACTAAATAAAGTCTAATTTACAGAAGTGGACTATAGGAGAAACAAATTGACTTGGCTGTGAAAACAAAGTAGATAAGATTTTTGCATGTATTTGAAGTTTAGTGAATTGGTTACTTAATCAGTGACCCAAGTTATTCTTTTCATGTATTAAGAGGAGGGTACACCTACACTTTACCAAGCATAGTCTTTAAAAAGTTGAAGATTCAGTTCCTGTTCACAAAATATATGCTGTCTGGTCTTGGCGGGGGGGCATGTAAATGTTGGGTAAAATGTTATTAGAGCTATGACTGATACCTAGCAGGATTATGAAAGAGGGCAGTTGGAACAGCACAAAGAAATAAAGGGTCATGGTTCATAACAGCAAATGTAAGTCAATGTCTAGAAATGTCTCATTCAGCTTCTGTGTGTATGTACATGGGAAGATCAATACTTCTCAAAGCACCCCCTCCCCGCCTCCCTGCCCCTGTTATGACTGGCTGCCAGCTGCTGAAAATAACAGGGAACCCTGCCACTATGGTCTCCTCGTTACAGATAAATATAAAGAGTTCATCTTTTAGATGAAGTGAAATACAAGTGAAAATAATTATAATGTAATAATAAGAGTGAAAAATAACCTCTTGTGGATTTTGCTTCAATGCATACTCTTCACTAGTGATGCTACTGGTCCATGGACCACACTTTAAGTAGCAAGATTTGCAAGAAGTTCTCAGAATATATGAATGTGGTATAATTCATATGCTTGGTTTGATGTTGAAAATTATGAATTTTTAAGGAAAGGTAGGAATGTCTTTAGAATTTTTTTTGTAATGCTGAGGATCAAACATGGGACCTTGTGCATAATCAGCAAGCACTGTACCACTGAGCTACACCCCCTAGCCCTTAAAGTTTTTACTACATGTTAACATAATTTGACAAAGTGCCTTGGGATTGCCCCTTTTTTTTTTTTTTTTTTTAAGGATCAAGGTAGAAGTCATCATTTTGGAAACAGTTGCCATTTGAGTACATTTAATCAGGGCAGCTCTGAATATTGCAAAGGAAGCACTGGGGACTTAAAAAAAGTGTTTTTGTTTGTCTTTAATGGAGAATTTCCATACAAAGAGAAAGCTGTTTTTGAAGACAATTCATTGGCTGGGAAGAAACCCTCGTTCAGATTTGTTAATTAGGGCATCTAGCAGAAGGCCAGCAAATACTGACTTCAGTTGTTTATCCAAGTCTATTAGAACATTCTGTGGTTTGACCTTAAGCAGTAGGTGTGAGTGCATTCCATTAGCCATCACCGGAGGAACACAAAATGAATATGATGGGGTAGGGACATATTATTCTATGGAGAGATGAACTATATTATCTCATGCATTTTGAAGATTATAAACTTAAGGTAAACAGATTTAGCTTATGGGATTTGGATCCAGTTCAAAAAACATCATCATGTTTGCTAATTTGTAAAGAAACTACTACCACAGTCTTAATTTCCATTTTCCACACTCCTTACAGTCATTGGCACTAACCCATCCAGGTTATTTCAGAGGCAGAACAAATCAAGCAATGGTCTGACCAGCTTGACCACTCCGTCAGCAATTGTTGCTGCACAATGACCCAAAATGTAAGTGGCTTAAACAACTTTATTGTTTGTATGGCTCTATAAGTTGGTTGGGTGGTTCTGCTGGTCTTGGCTAGAATTACTCATACTTGTAGGAAGGTCAGCTGGTGTGTGGCATGTGGATTGATATAAGTCTCCTACATCTTCTCAGCAGAATAGTCCAGGCATCTCTCTCCTTTTAAGGGTCCAAGAGAAGCTGAAAATATGAGAACAGGATTAAAGTTTATGTTAAAGTTGCTACTGTTGCCAAATCCAGAGTCAATGTGGGAAGGCACTAAAGAAAAGCATTGACAGAGAAGGGGTCATAGCCCAATCAACACATGCTCCAACCTCAGAGTAGCTCACACAGGGCACCAGAAAGGTGAAACCTGTCATGG